GATGTTACGTCTCGATATTCGTTATACATCACTCATCCTTCTAGTATCACGTATATTTCCTTGGCACCGTGGGTTTTTCGCCTTGAGAGCGAACTTCAGGGTGATTCGGAGGCAGGCTCTGACTTCAGAATTAATCTTCTCATCAACGGCCAGGCTTCTACGCGAGAAAGACTTTACAATAGCCCAGCCCAGGGTGATACGCAGTTACCTTTGAGTGCAGCTGTTGCAATCCGAGATCCTGACCTTGGTTATTTCCTGTTGTCTGCCACACCCTTCGAGCCGATTGCTCTTGTCTTCGATGCCCCTGAAGATGACTTCGTGCCTATTCAGACCATCTCACCATCCTTTAATCAAGACGCCGAAGTCAGGCCCTTGGATTTTTTCGAACCACGCCCTGTTTATCAACCGTCTCACGCGTTCAACGAAAGTTCAGCACTCCCTAGGTTCATTGAGCAGCTCCGCACAAGTCGACACAAGACAATTATGAACCAAGAGATCCGACTCTCACCACTTACTTTACAGCTGCTCACTGAAGCTCACCAGATTCTTAGTGACGAGACGCACAGGCTTGGCGTTGCTGCTTCGGAGGTGTTCCGGCGCTGTGTCAAGCTCCAAGAAGAACTAAAACAACAAATCACGAAGGCGAACGAGGTTAAGGCAAGAGTTGAGGCTGTCATAAGTGAAGATCAGGCTGAGGCGGGCGAAGAGCCAGGGTCAAGTAATGCTGCCATCGAGAGGCGGCTGCAAAACGCTAGAGAGAAAGGAGAAGCTTTAAGCCTGCGCTTGGAGAAGATGAGAAAGACAGTCAATAAGGCTACGAATCGGGAGCTGAGCAAGAAGGAGCAGGACTGGGTCAAGGAGGTTAAGGCTCTGGATGCTGGCTTATACGGATCGGCACGAATTGCAGATGGGCAAAATCGGGCTAAACAATGCATGGACAGGTACCGGAAGATTATGGAGCTAAAGGATGAGCTTGCCGAACAAGCGCAAACACTCGAAACCCCGGCTGATGAAGAAGAGAACACCCCGAGTCCTTCGAGGGGCGACTTGCGCATTCCATCAGAACTCAGACGCGCCAAGATCAGTCAAGTCAAGGGTCTTCTAGAGCGAGAGACGGCTTTGGTAGAGGCGGTCAAGTCGAGGCTGGAACGCTTAGCTATGGTTGGGTAGAAAGCACCAGAGACATACAAGGAAGGTCGGTTTCATCCGCCCTTGATAAAAGAATGTATGATTGTAACGATACTCCGATTTGCGTCAGCACAAATGTAGAGTGATTGGCCGTTGAAATGATGTGAGTGAGGTTCAACAATTTTCGAAGGTGGTCAGCATAATACAGGGTAATACTTCCACGTCAAATGCTCGACCCCATGGTAGTTCATGTACGCCATTCTCAGCTATATAGGGAACGTAGTACATGCTCTTTTTCGATCACTTACGAATGTGTGGCGTTATGCGGGCCTGCAGTGCAGCCGACAGAGCCAGCCATCTTGCATCCCTCGCTCCCTCGTATCATTGGCTTCTTGGTGGCGCGTCTAGGTAACCCTACTTTTCGGTGGCTACAGTCCAAAGTGCACTACCCAGCCGACCATACAATAGTCTAGACTCAAAGCTATATGGCGAGGCAAAACCGGCCTCATCATGCAAGCTATCCAGCTAGGACACAGACACCACCCTCTCAAAGGGATATATTTTCTGCTACAACCCGACGGTGTGGGAACAGGAGATTAGACCCTACGGGACTCCCGGGGGTGTCTTATCAAAGCCCGGAGCCCCCAACTGCTCGCCTCACTTTTCCAACCCTAAAGTTCTCCGACGTCATCCTCCTTTGAGGTAGGCTACATGCAATGCGGGTATCTTGATGTATATAGTATATCCGAGGAGGCTGGGCAGAATGAAACGGTTCTGTGCGTATTGCAGGAGTACACCCACGGCATCTCTCACCATCGTCCTGTAAGATGCATGGCAGCCTCGTTCAACCAATGGTTGCAACTAAGCCGGGACGCACAAAGACAGCGTGGCTGCAGGGAGCCATTATCACCTCGCACCTGAATCAATATATAAATAAGATGGGCCTCCGGAAATTCCGGTCATGATAGTCGAAGGCATTTATTCCAACTTTTCGCTCCTCCATGCTAGTGTACCTCCAAGGGCCCCCAATTTCGGCTCGCACCAACCTTCAGCACCTACCAGATACCACCATGGCCCCTCAATTGACACCCCCGTCGACTCTAGTCTTTGATAGCCGTACGCAAATCATAGGTCAGTTCCCTTCACCATTCGTCTGACATAAGATCATTGCCCTGTTCTGATTGGACAATTCTAGACAATTGCGAGTTCATCATAAGCAAGGATGACATAGTCCAGGTCATCACCAGTAAAGATCCGGCCGATAAGTTCTTCAAAGCGTACGCAGTGCGGTGCAACGAAGATTCGCGCGAGGTTTTGCTAGTGTCGGAACCCTGTGATAACGCCCAGAGGGCAGTAGAATCTCTACACACCAAATCATGTGAGGCAATTCACAACTATGTCACGATAAATGGCTTCTCGAGCCCTCGCGATCTCAAAACGGCGTTGCTCGAGACCAACTTGGATGAAGACGACGATGCCGCCTCCATCATCTCTGGTCACTCCGATTCCTCGACCGCGGCCTTTTCTGAATGGGGCAGCTCCGGTGACGAGGCCATGATGTTAAAGCACGCACCGGGGGCCAATGGGGCCTCCAAAGACCGACAACGTCCCGCTGGTCGCCCAGGCTGTTGTGCCGCTGCGGCCGCCTGTGCTCACGAGCCAGTGGCGGATTCGCGGTCGAGGGGAGCAGTCCGAGACGCTTTCGCAAGCTCAGCGCCCCCACGCACCCGCGCTGTCCGCCCTGTCCGCCCTGCGCGCTCTCGTTCGCCCCCGTTCGCCTTCAGACAGGCGCCACCGCCGCCACCCCCTGGGCACCCTGGACACCCTAGCGCGAATGGTCCTCCAGCTCCGCCGCCTTCGATGCGAAACATAACCATGCCCCTCCTTCCGCACCCCTATCCATCGGGCATGGCAGTCGGCTCGCACCCCGCTCGTCCACAGAATAACATGAACCCGTCGATGGCCCCGACGCAACACTTCACGTGCTTTCGTGTCCCCGGGTTCCCCCTAGATGGCCCCCCTTTCCCGATAACCCAGGGGGCCAGCCGACCTCCCAAACCATCTGGCCCCAATGGCAACGACAATAACAGTGGGAACGGCAACGGTAACGGGAGCCACCCGCCCCGACCCCTTTCCGTCTTTCACCCCAGCACGCGTACCCACACAGTCCGCATCACGGTGCATTGGCTGCGTCACGGCCAGCACCGCATCATAGCTCAATGCCAGCCAACCCGCGAATCGCTGCAGAGCGCGGCCCTCGCGGACGTGCGCATGAACCCCGGGGCATTCGCCAGCGACAGCCCTAGCAGCGGTGCCAACAGGGATGGCGGCAGGTTGTCCCTGCGGGCACATGTGCGCCAGGCTGTGTTTGCTGGCGAGCCGTACGACATGCGGACGTTCCACGGCCAAGACCTCGCGCGCCTGTTCCACGTCATGGCCGCGGATGACAGTATGCCGTCCTTCGAGGTCGTCGTGGAGGACTTCCCCCGCGACGCTGACGATGATGACGAAGACGACGAGGCAAGTGTCCGGGGATCCCCTGGCCCGGCGAAGGGCGAGAGATGGGACTAAGGCGAAAATCCTAACCTTTTACCGCGTAGCTACTGCAGAACAGGGCTGTTCAAGATGCCGAAATTGTGCAGGCATGTCGGCCGTACGTCTAAACTTTTGACCACAGACCCAGGGATGGTACTACTAAGTTTTGCTTGGTAATGCGTTTCAAACACTCTTCCTCCCCAGGTTATCTAGCCCCGTGATTTCTACTGTTGGGGCGATACACAGAACGTGCGCGAGCTTCAAGGGTTTATTTTCCATTCCATTAGCCTTTTTCATTTCTCCATTTGTCTACATCAGGGCAGGCTGTTTTGTATAAATTGGACTTGTCACAGGCATTGCATTGCTTGCTACCTTTTCACTCGCTTTTCTTACGCCGGGCGCTCAGGGGGAAAGGAGAAAGGATTTCTTATGAGTGCTTTTGATGGGGAATCACGATGCTGACAGACAATGGCTGGTCGAAAGTCGTAGTGCAGATTACAAAACTCACCCACTGTCCTTTACTCGCGTTGATATAGCGGCCATGCCTCTGCTATCTATCTACTTAAGTACGTAATTCGAGTAATATCACAAAGTGTGCAATTATTTGCTATACGGGCCAGACTATCGCGTAGGCAGGCAGGCAGGAAGAACAGGTTTAGAAATTGGCGATATCAGGTTGTTCCGCTTGGTTCGCTTTTACACCGTTACATCCCGAAGCGGAATCAATCAAAAAAAAGCTTGCCCCAAATTTAATATGGCGTTGTGATATAACCTAAAGCTAGCATGTCGGCTATGCATGACATAAGCACTTTCATTCAATATCACATACACTACACGCCCTGTTTTTTTGCACAATTCAAATCAATGTCTTGATAGCGTCATCTATCCCTAGCTCAGAATACAACCATGGATTTCCGTTATCCCTAGCTTCGTATTTGGGATCGACTGTTCGCCCTGTTTGTGTGTGTATACTAGCAGATACGAGTATTACATATAGTGCGTAGTAGTAAGTAAGTAAATAGCGTGTGTATGTGATCGACAGCAGGCGGCTTTCAATAGCCAATCTTTAAGTCAAAAAGCCAGGATCAGGGGTGAGGGAAAGGCTCGGGCTGCTTTAGCTTGTTGCTACTATTCTCAAATGAACCAGTTAGAACGTTTGCCTAGTCGACTCCAACTAAAGTGAGCTCCAACTTTTTTTTTTTTTACTTTTTTTGTTTTGGCCCTTATCGTGAACTTGGCCGTCGTTTCATCATGAGCTAACCCGCCCCGTTAGTCCAATTGGTAGGTAGGTAAGTCTACAACATGGTTACCGATACACGCTTGGTCTTCCCATCGACGCCCGGTTAGCTCAATCGGTAGAGCGTGAGACTCTTAATCTCAAGGTTGCGGGTGAGTGGCAATTAAAAAAATTCATATCAACGATCAAAATACTAATCCTGTACGTCTAGGTTCGACCCCCGCATCGGGCTCAATTCCTGATGCCTCCTAGATTCACTGGGAGTAGCAACCAAAATTTCTTCTGTTTTGTTTTTTTTCCGTTGGACCTCTACTTTTCTCTTCCTTTCTTTTTTTTTTTTCCCTTTTTTTTCCTTTTTTTTGTTATCGTGTGATACAGAGGGCGACAAAAACAACGGGTAGGTACATAAAGAGTGATAACGATCATGACCTCGTCAGATCAAAAATCTACGGCTCTGTTGAGGCTACGACATGCAGGCTCTGCTGAAATTTGTGCAGCACTGCTGCCCCTATCCACTGGTGTGATTAAGTGAAGTGCTTAGACAGGTAGTGACCGGGATATAACCGTTCTCATAGCGCCATTATTCTACATCCAATGTCCAACATCCAATGTCCAACATCCATGTCCCATGTATGGTATCAGAGCGTACAGACCTACAAACACGGCAGAAGTGAGGTGGGAAAGCCGGATTGGAGGGTCAGAAGGGCTCAAGCACCAGGCTAGCTACCATTCGTTCCCAGCCAGCCATTTCAAACAAAGGGCATAAAACGCGAAGGTCTGACCGTACGATCCGGCCGAAGCCTTGAGCTCACGGTCTTTACGGCACAGCCTAGACCACGTCGTGTTGTGTGACATTTATCTCACGGGCCAGGATAGGATAGGATAGGATAGGATAGGTAGCTAGCTCCCTCTCCTGCCACTGTATGCAAATTAGTTGTCTGGACACCTACCACGGTGGTATTACTTGGGTGATGAGGCATAAATCATGCTGGACAAGTCAGTTGCTTCCATCCGCTGCACAACGGGCATCGTGGCATATGATAATGACATGGGATGCCTGCAGTGTGAGGATTGGCAAGGCGAGCACAAATGACTCGTATAAACAAACACCAGATTGATGGAGAGACAGTGGATTGGCTGTTTCCCGTTGTGGCCTTTTGTTTTTTCTCTGGACCGCCCTCGCGGAATCCTGCATGGAGCACCTGTCTTTTCGCTCTCGGGCGCAGTCGGCGGCTTGAAGAACCAGATACGTAACACGGCGATATTGTACGAGTACAACGCTACCGATAACTGTACCATGCACGGATCGCCGGTCTGCGATCCCCTAATTCATGTGGGTATCTCGAACGATATTGCGCGTCCGATAGCTACACGCGGACATGGAAGGGTATGGCCACCGCCTGCGATGGGTGAGGCGTACTACGGGCCGTTATACGTCCAGGCAAGGAGGGCATACATACATATGCTAGAGGCTAACCTGGGTACCGAGGGGGCGGACTCGAGTTGGAGTCCAACAGATAGCAAATCAAAGTGGGCAGCTACTTTCGGCAAGCTGTTCTCATTGGTATCCTCCCTCACTTTCCGCATATGACATATAACCTGGCCTATTGGTTACCCACGGCAGTACATTGATCCCACAGCATGAAGCATTCGGCTAAGACTGACACATCACTCGAACCCAATTTGATGTATCAGATCGGGTAGATGAGGGCGCATCGAGCCCGCGCTGCCGGGTTTCCGGCCAAGCTTCACGTGTACCTCAGGTTACCTATTATTTTCTGCCTTACGCTCTCAACGCCAGGATAAAGGTCAGGATGGAGGTGCCCAAGGATACTACGAGTTGGCCTCAAAATGCTAGTGTGTTACACTAACTCACTGCCCAAATTCTGGTGATCTGCAAGCACGCAGAGTTCTTGCTGTCTGGATGATATTGTCACGCCTGTCATCGGAGAAATCTTAAAACTATTCAACTTATATGGAGGAACCCGAGGGGAGTAAATACCGCGCGAAGCTATAGGTCATCATATACAAAGTCGGTACTGTAGGTTATCCAGCGTGATGTCACCGCGTATAGTCTAGAACGTGTAACTTTTCTGGAGTCTTCGTGCAGTCATCGAGATCATTACCCATACTTACCTACATTTGGGCAGTAATCAGATGACTAAAACCACCCACGCTGATACAAGTATCTAATAATTATGGCCTAGTGTTCGTGTCCAGTTATCATAACACTAGTAGTAAATATCTCACGCTGTTTTATCCCGCGTTTGTATAGGCTGATTTATCCTGCGTTCATTCTGGGCTGTTACGCGCCATCGTGAAGTAGTCGAATTCTGGAGGATTCCAGTCCGTTGAGTGGTGTTTCATTGATCTGACTACGGAATTAGCCCCTGGGACCTTTTAGTGCCTATTGAAGTCGACTTCTCTCTTCTCCGGCCATGAGGTGATGGGAGGTTCCTGGTATATCTTCTTCGACGTTGGGGTAGTTGAAAGCTAGCCGTGACTCGGTCTAGGAGTCCGTCTCGCCTGTTCTAATCTACGGTAGTAGTGGACTCGTACGCGACTGCCTCTATCATTTCCTATACCAATCGACTCAACTAGTACTTCTGAAGCTCGGTCCGGGTTTTCTTCTTCGATTTCTTCCCTGGAAGGCTGTCTGCTTCGACCTCATACAATGGATATACAGGTCAGTTACCGGCATCTCCAATATGTTAGTCGCCTTTAGATCCTAGTATGTAGCACGGGTTCTTATGATTTCATTACGCAAATTGCCTAGAGCTACCGAGCCCAACTGCATCTCTGAATCTTTAAAGCAAGCTTCTGTAGTCTCTGCGGTAAAGTAACAACATGCCTACAGCCTACTTTCCTTACCATGGGGTAGGCTGCAATCAAATATTATTCCCTGGGAGTATGTTTTAAATAGCCTCACACATCTCACTTGAATACCTGTCATAGAATCAATATTACGCAGAGGTAGTGAATTATCGAGTATCTTCATTTTATGGCTCGTCGTAGTAGGCAAGAGACTCTATATGCTATCGTGTAGCGCGCATTGATATCTTCCTTCCCTTCAATACCTTTCTTCGTGTTGCAACTGTGATGATGGGCCTGCCATGTCGCCTTATGCTCCCTTTGTATTATCTGTCATCAAAGATGTCTTCGCCAGTGATTTGCTTCCTAGGATAGCAGCCTCTTTGGCTACCGTGGCGCAAGACTGCATATCACTCTCCTCCTTTACCACGGAGCATAATATCAAGGAATTATAAGCCATATTAGAAAATTTGCTTCCCGAATTGTTTGCCGGACGCAGTGGCGCACAAAATATCAAGAAGGTGTTCGAAGAGAAATTTCGGGCTAGGTAAGGTGTAGATGGAAGCAGTCAAGTGAGCTTTCCGAAACTAGCACTCTAGAGAATATTCACTATAGATGCCACTAATAGGGTAGAACTCATCCCCATCGTCATGTCTGTAGACGGGCTCAATAAGTCCTTGTGCTCCTGTATCGGTATCCATCATCATAGTAGATGCTGTATCGGGTATATACATCAGAGATGAAGGTGAGGTAGGCGCCTCGAGCATACCACTATAATCAAAGTTTCCGTCTCCTTGCGGCGGCTCTGGATACTGATAATGGTAGACAGGCAAGACCTTCTCCACAGGCGTCTCAGGCCTTGGGCCCGTCGGGTGAATGGTTTGTCGTAGGTCGCTATACTCGTAGAAGGCCGGGGGGACTGGGCAATAAAGTGTAGTTGAAATGGTTGGATCGATGTAAGCACGGCGAGCAGGGTGGATATATGTCTCATCCTCGGTATCCTCGTAGATCGATGTATCATATGCATCCTGTAGCTGAATTTCCATCTGCTCGTACTGAGTAGGGCGGTCTGGGGATGGCGGAGGAGGAGGAGGAGGGGGAGGGGGAGGAGGAGGAGGAGGAGGAGCAGGAGCACGGGTTCTGCGCCGGTTTTGACGACGAAGTTGGAAAGAGGGTTTTGGCGAAAGCACGGGGCGTTGAAGTGAGTAGGCGTTGGAGTCCATGCCAGAGCTAGAGGTTGTGTTGGTATATGGGTCCTCACGATTTCGCTGAGCGTATACAGAGTTGGAAATCCAGCCTCTCTCAGTGTTTGTAGACAGTTCAGTGTTCTTTTGGATGCAAGTGGCATCGAGGGGATAGTCGTCTAGTAGATAAACGGCGTTAGTTTGATGATAGAATTGTTAGATGATATAAGGGAGATAGGCATGGATTTGAAGAGTAAAGTTCCTAGGAGTTCATTCACCTTGATTTTGGCTTGACAGGTAACGGTCAACCCGACCGAGCCGGGACATCTCTTCGTCAACCGAACTGGTTAAATGACTGCGTCTTTCTCGGCGCATCGTGGTCCATTTTTGGAAAGCAGTGTTGAAGTCGTACACACATCGTTGAAATGCGTACTTCTTGGATCGTGTAATTCGAAACGGGACCGACTGTCTTTCGATGTACGCCATAATAGTTGGGTTCTTTGTCTCAATGAAGTCCATAAGTTCGCGCACATCGGCAGGCGGGATGTCATGCTTGTATTTCCTGCCATAAAGAGCTTTATTCAACTTAGTTGCCAACTGGAGTACCCGGTCACCCGAGTCTTCCCCATCCGAGTCTTCGTTATCTCTATTTTCGTGACAGCGAGACTTCCTCTTAAGCTTCCTTTTGGATGTACCAAGGTGCACGTGCTTGCAGATTAAAGAGCATACCGTATCCAGCTCAAATTGTGACCACTCTCGTATCTTCGGCCCCTGCTCAGAATCGAAGGATGAGGCGGGAGTGCCTTCCTTGGAATGGGATGATTCCATGGTCTCTAACGAACTCGTCATCGTGAACTCTAGTGCTAGTAAAATATGTTCAAGATCCTGTGTGGGTGCGGGGGTAAGTATTGAATGGTGAGGAACTGTGGGTAAGTTGGTGGTTTGGTGGTATCTGTTGATTTGCCCCGGGGAGAATACAATAAGGATGGCACAGCAGATATTAAGAAATCATATGTAGTAAGTAAGATAAGGTAAGATGGAATGTACTGATACCTAGAAGAGAGTAAAGGCACTGACACTAGCACTGGGCTTGTTTCTTTTTGTGACATACCTTTTTGCTAGATAGGATGTTTATCTCAATGGATTGAGAGATCAATAAGTAGGTGATTAGATGGTAAGTGTGGCTTGGCCGTCGTTGCAAGGAAAAGAATTCGTCGACTATAAAGAACTACAGAGA